AAGTATTTAATTATCTTAAAAAAATTTAAATCTTCATTAAAAAAAAATAATTTCTAAAATCGTAAAATGAATAAAAAACGAGAGAAGATTATGCTAGTGATACATATCTGAGACACATTTTGAGACATCCTGCATGAATTCACACGAGCGTGGTATATGTGTGTACGAAATTTATTTAAGTACGTAAACTACCGTCTACTTTATAAAAAAATTGTATGTTTATATTTGTAGATTCTTGGAGTCTTATATTTTAGAATCCTCGTATCCTTGGATTTTAAATTCCTAGATTTTTAGACAAAGCAGATTTCTCAAAAATCCATAAAATCTTAGATGCTAAAACAATTTCTAGTGTTTTGCTCAGATATTTAACGAATTGTGGAAGCTGTAAATCGTGCAAAATTTTGATCCACAATTTTTTTTATTATGTGTAACAAGTTGATCGTCTCAAGACTTTTTTCTATCCAGTTCTTTTATAGATATTCTATATGTGAGTATCGAATTGTTAACATACATCTTATGATCACCATTTGTAAACAGTAGCTTTTTAATGCACAATTTTGTAAGAATGTGAGAAAATCGCATTTTTTATGTAATTTCTCTTAATATCTCGCAAAAGGATTTTTCTATATTTCTGGTATAAAGAATCGAATATTCACAAGCTATCATATATAATTTCCATTTTACTATTTTTTGAAATAATGAGTGGAATCCAGATTTATATGTTGCAACATTGATATATGCACGAAAAATTCAAAGAAATTAACAATAGTTATAATTAATAATAATTAAAGTGTACAAATTTTTCGCGCATAACTTCGTTATCCGTTTTTGCATTTACATATAAACCGGGCTTCTTAAATAATAATAATAATATTAATAATAATAATATATAATATAATATAATAATAATAATAATATACAGGACTCGCAGTTCGCAAAATAACAACACGATGATGTACAAAAAGTTGCGTCTGATAGATTAATGCAGATTATGTAAATCTATTTACATAAAATCTTTGGCAAAATCATCGATCCATATTTTGGTGAATACAGGAATGAAACAAAAGTTTATCAGCTGTTTTATTTTGATAAAAACTTTTGAAAAATTTAACAAAAAAAAGCATGGGTAGTATATATAATATCTTAATTAATCGATATTTATTGTTAAAAAGATATACGATTCATGAAACATGATATTTAATATAATCATTATATTATATTATTAATAATAATTATATTACTCACATATATATAATCGTGTTTAATAATCTGAGTTAAGCCGATATTGTTCGGTATACACATCAGCAAACAATTTTCTTCTGTAAGATTATCTTGAAGGAACTTTATATGTGAACAATCTATACAAATTTGGCAGGACATGAAAAATCACATTGCATAAGAAATATGCGACATATGTTTTCGGTGTTTTACAAAGTAATAAAAAAGATCATCTAGAAAAAGAGATAATCTGTGAACTCAGATTTGTAGTACATATCGTATTCCATAACATTATGCATCGAATTTCTATTAATTGAAAAAAGTTACAGTATATAAATATATGTTATCATATAATCAAATATTATCAAATGTTTTTCCCAAAAATTTTATCAGATAAATAAAACAGCTAATGACGACTTGTTTCTCTCTTCTGTATATACGTAGCATTATTATCCACAGTAAAGAATTATATGTCTCACACACGTATATATGTATCGTTCGCGCGTTTTTCAGTTTTTTTTCTACAAATAATTCTGATCTCTTTCGGTATACGAGAACGTTCCAGCACCGCTCATGAAATGCACCAAGATCAAAAAGGATATGATCGACGGAACGTTTTTTCAGCTGCGTTTCAGCCAACGCTGTCGCCCATCATCTCGGTTTCCGCTTGAAGCTTAAGATTTTCCGTATTCGAATCTCCAATCGTTTCTCCGCGTGCATCGACGAACTCCTGTTAACATAAAGTATGTTACAAAACGTAATATAAAAAATATATAGAGATATAAAAAATTAAGAATGTCACAGACTAATCATAGAGGTCAATCATTCGTTTTGACCTAATCTACCTTTTCGAAATTGCTCAAGTGTGATCAATCGATTCGCCTATTGTTTACTGCGTAAGAAGTTCTTTCATATGTCTCTGATGTCTAAGATTCTTGGGCTCTCACTGCAGCCACATTGGATTATAAAATCAGATTATGCGCGTATGTTGTGTGATGGTAGAAATAAATTACTTTTTTGTATCTCATTTTGTTTCATATCAGATAGAATAAATTCTTTCTTTACAGAGGGAGGATAGTTCATGAATTAATGGCTGTCTAAATAGATTTGATTAATTACTAAGCTCAACTTTTGCTGGAAATCTAGGACATATATAGATTGATTATACATGCATTTAGTAATGAAGAACAGTTAAAACGAAAATTTTCGATATATTTTACCTATTTATACTATCAAACGTTAATATATAAATTTAAATAAAATAATCATTCATGAAATAAGCTAAATAGCTAATATATAACAAATAAAGAAAAAGAAAAAAAATAAAGAATTCCAGAAATTGACTCAAGATTATAAATTAGAATAAGAAGACATATTATATATATTATACCTCAGATTTAGACTATTCCAATTGTATTTCAAATTTGTTATCAACAAAAGGATATGATCGACGGAACGTTTTTTCAGCTGCGTTTCAGCCAACGCTGTCGCCCATCATCTCGGTTTCCGCTTGAAGCTTAAGATTTTCCGTATTTGAATCTCCAATCGTTTCTCCGCGTGCATCGACGAACTCCTGTTAACATAAAGTATGTTACAAAACGTAATATAAAAAATATATAGAGATATAAAAAATTAAGAATGTTACAGACTAATCATAGAGGTCGATCATTCGTTTTGACCTAATCTACCTTTTCGATATAAATTTAAATAAAATAATCATTCATGAAATAAGCTAAATAGCTAATATATAACAAATAAAGAAAAAGAAAAAAAATAAAGAATTCCAGAAATTGACTCAAGATTATAAATTAGAATAAGAAGACATATTATATATATTATACCTCAGATTTAGACTATTCCAATTGTATTTCAAATTTGTTATCAACATTCTGCATCAGTACTTGAATGGTTTAAAGTTCATATACAATTTTAAAAAAAAGATGTAAAAACATAATACATATACATATAATTTAAGATTATAAGACATCTTCTAGTTTAACTCTTGAAAGTTTACTTATTCATTGTGTAAATTTACCTGAAAGGTGCCACACCAGTTGGAAAGTTGTGTGTCTCCGCTGTAAAAATGAGATGCTGCTTCATATCTTCCAGATGAAAATTGCTACATTTGTGAGTTTCTACAGGACACAGGACAGGGACTTGAAATCCTTCTATAGCACTGCTGTTATCGCTAAATTTAATTACATTGTTCGAATTTGAGTAATTTTGTGTGTCCATAATCATGTCAATCAAGGATTTTTCTTCTTCTTTACCATCCAAAATAATACGTCCCTTAAAGAACCAATGACGACTATGTTCACTGTTAGATTGGGCAAGGTCAAAACATTCTACGCTTGTTGGATTACGCTTTAATTTCTCAAGAAATAATTTGGTATAAAAGTCTAAATCCCAGTCGTCAAATGCCAAGCCTGCAAAATAATATTGATCATTCGTTTTGACCTAATCTACCTTTTCGAAATTGCTCAAGTGTGATCAATCGATTCGCCTATTGTTTACTGCGTAAGAAGTTCTTTCATATGTCTCTGATGTCTAAGATTCTTGGGCTCTCACTGCAGCCACATTGGATTATAAAATCAGATTATGCGCGTATGTTGTGTGATGGTAGAAATAAATTACTTTTTTGTATCTCATTTTGTTTCATATCAGATAGAATAAATTCTTTCTTTACAGAGGGAGGATAGTTCATGAATTAATGGCTGTCTAAATAGATTTGATTAATTACTAAGCTCAACTTTTGCTGGAAATCTAGGACATATATAGATTGATTATACATGCATTTAGTAATGAAGAACAGTTAAAACGAAAATTTTCGATATATTTTACCTATTTATACTATCAAACGTTAATAGTAAAAAATTTAAGTGATTTATTGATTTGATTTTGTCATACTCTAGTATTAGAAATTATTCATGGGAATTGAAATGAGAATTTGAATTCTGATATTTGTCTTGCTCACTCTTGAGCTTCTAGATTTTGATAATTATTACACATTTGTCAAATTTTACTTTAAAAGATATATACTGAATATCTATGTTCTTACTTTTAATCAAAAGAAAAGTTGTAAAAGTCTAAAGTTAATTTTCTTTAATTACACACACTTACAAGCACTTACCCAATTTCAAATTAACTTCTTCCAAAGCTTTCCTGCCTTTTTTAATTAGGTCAACTTCAAACCATTTCTCTGGCCTAAAGCCATGATCAAATGTTTCAACAGGTTTTACGTATCTACATTCTGTCATTTTATCTCCCAATATCTCTACAATCTGTGGAATAATATGTGCAGTGTTATTTTACAAAGAAAATATAGAGATTGTTTTATATATTAAATAAATTTAATAGTTTTAATCATATCAATGAAAATCACTGATAGTTGAGTCAATATAAAGAATATACACATACGTCATTTTCTACTTTCTTATCGACAAGCCCTTTAAATTTGATACAATATCTAATTGACACTTCTATTCTCGTGACTTTATTCAATTTCACAGATTTACAAATGGACACTACATTAGTGGAAAATGCTGTTGAGAAGTTCAACCTATAACGATAGAAAATTGTTTTATTACAAATCATAAAGAATTAATTTTTATAGAGCAGAAATAAAAAAAGTACAATTAGAGAGATATTAGATGTGTAAATTTTTTACCTGGGTCCAATTTCAATAACAACAGCATCATCTTGAATATTATTGAATACACTGTCATATTGCAAGCATTCTCGTTCGAAGGGAGGTGACAAGATCCATTTTAATATCCTAATCTCTTCTTCCCGGAGCGGCTCGGTGATCTCTACGTAATAACACAATTCTGTCTCAAGATCGGTCACCGAAGTCTCGATTTCCGACACCTTGTGTAGTTTGCTCTTCAGCTGTCCCGCCTTCAATCCGGGAGCCTTGTAAAACTTTAAAATGCCCATTTTCGAATGAGCATATGTATAATAACGAGAGAAAGAAAGAGAGATGCTGATAAATTGACAGACACACCGAAACTATTCAAGATTAGAGATATCGAGCTGTGGGGGGTATAACTTTAGCCATTTATCTCATTATTCGACGATAAATTGAGATGATATCGCGTAAACTTTGTGCAGCAAGAGATGCCCTTGTTATCATTAATTACGATTTTGAAAGTGTTGTCTATTCTGAATAATTAAGAAGAAAGATCAACACGATAAGAGGGTAAATCACAAAACTAAGTCGAATAATGACATGGGCTTGCCTACATAATTCGATAAATAAGTCATCAATTCAATATTTTTCAAGCACATAACGCACAATATGCAACATTTTTTTAAATATATTGCGATTTTTTAATTTTTTATATTGATTATCGTAATAATTACATGTAATTTCATGGCGGATTCCAATAAATCAATGGAAACATTATTGCGAAATAGTTTGAAAACGCTGTATAAAACTCTCTAAAAATTACATAAAAAACCAAATAACGAAAAATATCATATAATTATAAATATTACATAATTCGAAAGTTATATAAAATAGATATAAATATAGGATACACAATAATTTAAAGGTAATTAAAAGATGACAATTGAAAGGTATCTCTGAAAAGGCTCAATAATATTTCTAGCCATTTCCATTACCATTAACTTTGAATATAATAACTTTGATGAAACAGAGTAGTTTTATATTGTTTATTAAATAATAACGTATTAAAAAATAATTTTGAGAATAATTTTAGAAACAATTTCTATACACTTTATATAAATAATACTTAAAAAATACATTGTAATTTGTTAATTCATTGAGAGTAATGAATATAAAAATGCAATTTAATGCAACACATATATATTAGGTTGAACGGAAAGTTCGTGCCGTTTTTTGAGTCTTAATCTGTTAGGAAAAAACGGAACGAACTTTCTGTTCAACCCAATATTAATGAATATATAATAAAGTATAATAAAGTTAGAAAATCTTTCTTACATCGCGAATGATGTCATCGGTGCAACTATCTTGATGCACGACGTCATCTGTAAAAACAAAATAATATACATTATTGGACTACTTTACAATTATTTAAATGCATCTTCTTTTAAACATATTGCAAGCATCTCGTTACATGAGCAAATTATGGAGAGAAAGATAGACTATGTATTTTTGAAATACCTGTCATATTTTTATAAAGTTATTATATAAATATATTAAAATAATTGTGTAGAGGTAAAATTAAAATAAATAGAGGACTAACCAGTTGCTGTTTGCGTGTGTGTTGTCGTGGTTATCACTTCTGAAAATTCACGGCGCTGTACGTCGGTGTCAAGTGCATGTATACGTTCTCTACTTCTACGCAATTCTTTTCGTAATTTTTCCCGTTCTTCTTCTCTCTCCTTTATGATTTCCTGCAATTCACTCAAATTTAGTAAAATGTTGAAAAACACGAAACTAGAGATAAACTCTGTTTATCTTAGTTGTGTTTTCTTGCTATTTTTCATAATTAAATGTGTATCCAAGTTTTGAAAGAAAAAAGAAAATGCCTACACACAAATAAAAAATGCTCTAAAATAGAAAGATATAAAAGATAATCAAAATTTTGCTAAAGAACAGAGATAATATACAAAGATTTTGGAAATTTATTTTTTTAGACAGAAACACACACACATTCTCTCTCTCTCTTTCTCTCTCTCTCTCTCTCTCTTTCTTTCTCGATGAAACAAAATTAAACTATTTGTAAAAAATTATATATATATAATTAGTTTGGAAAAAAAAAAATTTACATTTTACATAATATCAAGAGTTTATAAAAAGCGGTAATAGAGTCACAAATGTGTGTATAAATTATCTTTGTACATAAAAGTTGGATCAAATATTGACAATGTAGCTTGTCTTTCTTTTTGCTCTCTTGCAAAGTAAAGTGTTTGGATCAGAGAAAGTAAATTTGCTTCATAATTGTTTCATAGTTATTAGCATTATTTTAAATGAATTTTATTATTATGTAGATAACAGAACACTTCAAAACAGGAGATAAACATTAGTTTATTCTTAGTTTATATAATTTTTAATTTCGTGAAAAAATTACACATAATCTCTCTCTCTCTTTCTCTCTCTCTCTCTCTCTCTCTCTCTTTCTTTCTCGATGAAACAAAATTAAACTATTTGTAAAAAATTATATATATATAATTAGTTTGGAAAAAAAAAAATTTACATTTTACATAATATCAAGAGTTTATAAAAAGCGGTAATAGAGTCACAAATGTGTGTATAAATTATCTTTGTACATAAAAGTTGGATCAAATATTGACAATGTAGCTTGTCTTTCTTTTTGCTCTCTTGCAAAGTAAAGTGTTTTTGATTATCTTTATATCTGATTCTCTGAAGATCAGAGAAAGTAAATTTGCTTTATAATTGTTTCATAGTTATTAGCAATATATTTTTATATTATTAAAAACACGAAATTTTCGAAATTTTCTATTCATATTAAAGTTTTATTTTTGCCAGAGTTTTAATTTTTAATGTAAATTAAGAGAAACGAATCATATGATAGTTAGATAGTTATATGTTTGTGTAAAAAAATAATTATTCTTATCACATTTTATAGAGTTCTGGCAAATTCCTAAATTAATATTAATATGATATTTATATGGAAAATTAGCGGTAATAAAAAAAGATATGGAATTTTCATATAAAAGCATGAAGTTTAAAAATTTTACAAATGAAAAATTCAAGAATCAAAAGATTTAACATTTCAAGTGTAAAGAAAATATGTATATATATGTATTATATGAGATGACGAAAGGTCATTGATTGCGATCGTTTGTTTGTCGCTTTGTGACGCTCGTAAAAGGCAAACTGCTTCACATGATATCAGTAATTGCTTCATTCACAATTGCTTCATCGATGTTGAAAATATATTATAAGGTTATCGTGATTTCGAAAGAGGTAGCGTCTTTAAATATAATACATCTGAAACTTATAAATTAATATATCAATAGATTTAATTAATTATTATATCTATAAAATAAGTTTATTAAAAATAATAATAATAATAATAATAATAATAATAATAATAATAAAATATTATCCAATAATGTTATTAAATATTTTATACATATGCAATAGTATCGCATTTCTAATGGTTTTTGTGTCTTAGCATTAAAAATGATTAGTGTTCCATATAGTAGCAAAGATTTTATGTAAGTAGACGAGTCCTTTATATACGCAATTTACATAACAGAAGAAAGAGAAAGAAAAATAACAATATACAGAAGTCTTTCATATTTAATCTTGTCATGCTAATAAATTTAAATTTTATTCGCAGAGAGAATTTCGTTCAGCTTACTTCCTCTGTCTAATATTCTTTTTCAAAATCGAGCATGTTTATAAGTATATTTCAAGATTTAGCTGCACTTATCAATCATTTCAGATTATGATGTGAAAAGCGAGGAAATAGCGAGCAAAAGCGCAAATGAGCAATTAAATTCACATAAATGTTGATTATCTATTATTACTGTTTGCTGATAAAATTACTTTAATTTGTGAAATAGATTTAAAAAATAAATATATCTCTCCAAAAAAAGTTATATAAATGTAATATAAAATAGATGTCATAATTATTAGTTGTAATCTATTAAGTTAGCGCAAAAAAGATCTATTGTATTTTTCAAATAAAGCTAAAAATGGAATTATTCATTTTTAAATAATTGGTTATCAATATATTTTCCGCATCTAGAAATTTTTCGCATCATAATTTTTTTCTTAGAAATTTCGTGGACTTAACATTATGAAAATATATTTTAATAGAAAGATAAGAAAATCATTATATTAATATTTGATAATAGCCTGAATGTAACGCAGAACATATGTTTTGTGTCTCTATCTATAAAGAGTACATCAAAAGTTGACACATCAAATTTAGTAAAATGTTGAAAAACACGAAACTAGAGATAAACTCTGTTTATCTTAGTTGTGTTTTCTTGCTATTTTTCATAATTAAATGTGTATCCAAGTTTTGAAAGAAAAAAGAAAATGCCTACACACAAATAAAAAATGCTCTAAAATAGAAAGATATAAAAGATAATCAAAATTTTGCTAAAGAACAGAGATAATATACAAAGATTTTGGAAATTTATTTTTTTAGACAGAAACACACACACATTCTCTCTCTCTCTTTCTCTCTCTCTCTCTCTCTCTTTCTTTCTCGATGAAACAAAATTAAACTATTTGTAAAAAATTATATATATATAATTAGTTTGGAAAAAAAAAAATTTACATTTTACATAATATCAAGAGTTTATAAAAAGCGGTAATAGAGTCACAAATGTGTGTATAAATTATCTTTGTACATAAAAGTTGGATCAAATATTGACAATGTAGCTTGTCTTTCTTTTTGCTCTCTTGCAAAGTAAAGTGTTTGGATCAGAGAAAGTAAATTTGCTTCATAATTGTTTCATAGTTATTAGCATTATTTTAAATGAATTTTATTATTATGTAGATAACAGAACACTTCAAAACAGGAGACAAACATTAGTTTATTCTTAGTTTATATAATTTTTAATTTCGTGAAAAAATCACACATAAAAAAATGATAAAGCATGTATAAATGATAATTTTATATCATATGTCACTCTTTAAGAATAATAGATATAGTGAAAGGTATAATGGAAGGTATAATGTATCATTTTACCTTCATTTATCTAAAAGAACGACAGAATTCCAACTACAATCGTGAAGCCTATCGTTTCTTGTCTGGTCAGAGGCAAATGTAGTGTTAGTATTCTGAAGATGTTAGATAAGTGAAGATAACGAGAATGAAGAAAATAGAATATTTTTACGGCATACTTACCAGGAGTTGTGACAGTTGCGAAAGCTGGGACGTAAGATAATGACAAATTGGCTGCATCATCCCCATGATCGATTGTTGAGAATGCGAATGGTTTCGTAGCGTGGGACAACCGGTAGCTTCGCATGCAGCGGGAGACGATAATGCCGATGCTCCACACGATGCAAATATCGTTTCCGTTTCGCTTACATTTAATGCAGAATTCAACATTCCCACTAGATGATCCGCTGTAGGAGAAAGTAAAATGTTAATATATGTAGCGTGTTTACATTTTTTTTTATTCTCCCTTTTTTCATATAAATTATTGAGAAATAAATACTATTAGTTGGATGTATTAGTAATACTATTAGTATATGCTATCCATTTGCTTTAGTATAAAATTATATTTTTTTTGTGCATTTTAAATCAAATAAATAAAAGTTGGTCAATTTTCAAAAATCTTCTTCAAATTTATCATTTTTTATATATTTCTGCTTTCAATAATATATCAAGTCAAACTTGAATATTTTGTTTAGAAAAATATATATTTCTCTTCAAAATAGTTATTTTATAAGTATTAAAACTTTAAAAAAAGAGTTTGCCTCTTAATAATACTTTGGCTAATAGCAGCAAGTATAAGTTCAGCGGGTTCTTTCTCAGCGGATGGTTCAGATGCTATGTCTGCCACATGCTCGAAATCTTCTTTAGGAATATTTAATATATCTGCCATTAATATGTGCTTCTCAAGTAGAGCCTGTTTGATTATTTCGTCCTTACGCCTCAGACATTCTGGAAAATGTCAAACGTCCATATATTTTTTTTTTGCTATTAAATTGTGTCTTGTTTCAGTGAAATCACAAAACTGTGCAAATTTTTTCTAAGAGATTTTATGTTAAAAATTATTAATTGTTATATATATCGGTTATACAGTATACTCGATACCACAATTATTATATGAAAGTATATATAAGTGCAATAACTTTTGCAATATCATTCAAATTTGGTAAAAATTTCATGTAAAATGTCAGCAGTATTTAATAATTTGTTTTAAAACGGTTAAAATAAAATAAAATAAAATAATTTAAAATTACATTAAAAAAAGAAACTTGTACCTATTGGTGTAAGGACCGGTTCTGCAATATGCACCGGTGGTACCTCTACATGAACTTCCAATGGATCTATCAATGAGAGCTGAGTGCATGTGACCATTCGTAAGGGCTCCGCTACACCTACATGTAGAAAAAAAAATATGAACCATCTTAAAAATGATTTAATTTTATTATTATTATTATTATTATAAACTACTAGAAAATGTTTTGTTAGATGTGTATTATACATATGGACATTAACTATAATTCATGTTTAAAAGTTCTGATTCCATATTGCAGATATATTTGATTGAAAATCATTCTTTCTATTATACATTCCAAAATAAATAAACTATGTGACGTGCAAATGTCACACAATACGCATTAAATATAATATAAATGTGTGAAAGAATATGTGTATAATGAAATGTGTCAAATATTGTTCCTTCAGCTCATGAATTAACCTTTAGACCGCCGGGAAAAAAAGTGTAAAAATTCCTTAGAAAAAAATGCATATATATCAAAGATATTCAATATAAAGGCACCGTTGAGAACTCGCGCCACTATAGTGGCGTTCCGGCGGTCTAAAGGTTAATGTCTGCGGCTATAAACTATGTTTTACTCGGAATACAACCTGTCATGGGCGATTCAACAGTCGATTGCTGTTGCGTCCGTTGTTGCGTTTGTTCGATCGTGGGAGTTTCCGTAGTAGTGGTGTTTTCCGGTGTCTCCTCATCATGCTCCTGCATACCGGCAGCAGCGTTTTGTCCAAGCTCCCTCGATTCTCTATTCTGTGATTGAGCCTTCTCAACAATTACGCTGTCTGCTTCTGAAGGCGATCCGTCTTCCATCGCGTGCGTCGGTTCCTCCGGGAGCATAGTAGGCGGCGTTGGTCTTCTTCCTTGGCGATCGCGCGCCTTGTAAGCTTCCACGGCTTCGGAGATGTGTTTACACCAGAGCTTGCGCTCCGCGGAAGACGGCGCCACTAGATTGTACATTTGCGCGCCGTTCTGCGACGTATTAACCAGATAGAGAGAGTCCTTCTCGGCGGCATTGTGGCGTACGAGTACAGTGGACAGCTTGACGATTGGACTGAGCACGGAATTGCCTGCCTGGTTGGTCGTGTTAATAAACTTAAGCAGATATTTGTCGTCTTGTCGATGTAGGAAGAAGATTGTATCATCGAGCAGAACTACATGCAGATCTACCGGTTTTGGCACCGAGCGATTCGGCATCGATCGATTCGGTTCGGTGCGTCGCCACTGCAGCGGTCCCTCGTAAATCAATTTGCGCTTCGTGATGTCGAGATGCTTGAACTCCTGTACGGTCGGGTGATCGAACTTGTCAAAGGCCGATCGATCGATCGTTCGTTGGATGTCTACAAGTCGCTGATAGTCCTCAGCCTCCTTCACCGCCTGGTTAACGCGACTCAGGATCTCTTTACTGCGTTCGAGACTTCGTAACACGGCCGCCTTTTCTTTCTCGTTACTGTCAGGCGTGTACTTGGCAAGGTTTTCGAATAGCAACGGGTACTTGGTGAGTCGCAGCATACCGGTGAGTATGTGATCTTTCAACTGAAGCCGGCGGCACAATGGATTCGCTTCCACCTCGTTCAGGAAAGCGTTCAGCTTGGAATCCTTGCGTCGACGATCGCGCAAAGCGTCCAAGGCAACTTGTTGCTTAGCGCAGTAAGTCGACGCAGCCTTCTCAAACGCCTCGCCGGCCTCACCGTCAAACATCTCTAGCAGAAGTTCACCCACGTCGCCTACACATGGGTTCTCCTTCTTCTTTCGTTTCATCGACTGGTTGAAGCGCGAATGGATCATCAACATCTCGTCCAAGTTGGAGAAAAGCAGCTGAATCTGATCCAACGGCAGCACTTGGGACTCCAACAAAGGTTTGTGGAAGACGTGCGAAAGCACTTTCAACGCGCGAACGTGGGAACGTTCGGTGTGAAATAATTCTGGAAAAAAAAAGAAAAAAAGATTTTGCAGATACTTTATTAATGCGACCTCTTATATCGGGGCAATTTTAGAACAAAATGATTACTCACCGTTAATAACATCCTGTCTCTTTTTCTCTGAATTGCTGAGTTGTGTGAGAACGTCCTCGCTGACAGCCTGGCTCCAATCCGGCGGATCAGCCTCGACATCGACGTCACTGTCCCACGAAGTTGAAGCGTTTGCCGCCGATGTGGTGGGATGTACCTGCTCCAGGCTGGTACTGGGACTATCCAGACTCCTAGTCGATAGGCTGCTGTTTGATGAACTGCCGGCCGAATTCCCGGGAAAGGTTCCGGAAGGTTCGCAATCGCTGGAACCGACTCTATAGTCAATCGTTAGCAATTTATGAATTTTGTTATCAATTAATTATAACATCTAGTATCTTTCGACGCAGTTCGCACTATCATATCGATTTTATAAGCAGGATACACTCGACTCTTGATGCCATAAAGACTCTGTCGTCAGATGTTGAAAATTAAATTCTCTTTTTCTTTAGTCCTTTACTTTTAGAGACGTATCATATCGAGAGTTCGTACGTTGAAATACATCAAATTAAGAAATTTTTTCCGTCATAATAGCTTTTAAATATTAAAGATTTTCCTTTTTTATTTCATATAGAAAATATTACACATATAAATTAATACATGCAGTTTTTTCGCTAATTTATAATCTTATTTTTTATCTTATATATATATTAAATAAATAAATAAATAAATATATATATATATATAATATTAATAAAAACATATACATGTATATATATTTTTTTCGTTTAATTTATAGATATTTCTAATTTTAGCGGAAAAATTGATAAGATTTTTGAGAATAAAGCTGTAGAAAGCGAGAAAATTTTGATTTTTTCTCAACAGAAATAAGCTTTATTTTATCTTTATTTTATCTGTTTTTTTTTTTTTTTTTTTTTTTTTTTTTTTTTTTTTTTTTTTTTTTTTTTTTTACGAAGTTGGACTTCATAAATATTTCTTATAAACAAGAGTTTTGCTCCAGATTTTTCTATTCTACCAATAGGAGATTTCGCTATATATAAAATATCGAATAAATAATCGGTTATCGTAATAAAGTCGAGTCACTTCTTCACATCGAACAAATAGTAACGGACACAGTTTCGCTGCGACAGCAAGAAATCTTTTTTCCTCGCGCGATGGATATTGATAAAAAAAATACCTTTCGGACCTCGTACGTCGTTCATTAAGACAGCGCAGATGATCGCGCGCAGCGATGGTAGTGGCAGCGTCGTCACTCGGCATAAGTATTTCGGTAATGCTTTCGTCAGCATCCGAATAACCCTTGGGGGTGGCGGCGGCATCAGCTGATCGGTCCGAACGTAGGGTTACCGCCACCAACTCAGGATCGCTCGGGATCTCGTTACCGTGAGAAACAAGACGAGGGCGGACGCGTCGGGAGCCGTGTTGCCTCATTTTTTTTGTTTGTTTTTTATTCCCTTTTAGTCCTCCGAGGGCTTCATCGACATGTCATATACGACACGAAGAAACACACGCGCGTGTCCGCACACTTTGCCCGTGCATGCATTCAATACAGATATTCTCGGCTTCTTCTCGGTTTATATGTTATTATACTTTAGCTTTAGGGTAAATTTCACATATTCATGTTACATGAAATAAAATATTGTTATTAGATGAGTTATTTAAAATATTTAGATTAATAGATTGATAGTAAAACAGCGAAATTTTAAAGGTCGCTGGTTCAATATTGAAGGCTGTATAATACAGTACAGTGGCATTTCAATCTAAATTGTATGTGAGGTAACGTTCCCAATAAAGAGAGACCTTTAAAAGAATATGCAGAGAATAGTAGTCACGAGCTATATATCTTTCTTTTTAATACATTTGACAGAAATTTTCTCGTAAAAATATTGATAGTGCTCGACAATAAGAGAATATGCTTAATTCTCAGTAAATGCCATAGAATCTTTTTTAGGAATCCCTTTTTGATATAAAAAATATATACATGTATATTACTATAACTAACTTTTTAAATATTCATTTTAATGTATAATATATGGGCCCCTTTTTTCTCTTTTATTTAAAAAAATTTCTGCTTTTATATATAAAAATCAACTATGATCTACGTTATATTTTTTTCTTCAATTTTCTGTGTATAAGTGTTTATATATGTAAGAGAGGAAGAGAAGCTATTTATCAATAACTATTTATTTTGTTTTTTTTTTTCATATTTTTTTTTTTTTTTGATTGTAAGAAAAGATTGTAAAGTATTAAAAAAGACAATCTATTTTATTCAATAATAAGAATTTTTGAATTATTGAATTCAATAAAATTATTCTCATTTACATTAACACAATTCCATTAACATCTTACTTATAAATTCACTTTAAATTTCTTTTACATATCATTATATAAATCTGCCCTAAACCAACCAAAGCTAAAAATTTATAGTGCCTAGAAGGCAGGAAAGATAAAATATTATGTAACATTGATAATATATGATAATACTAAACTTTATACTTTCACTTGATTCCCCAGCATTATACTTTTTTTTATGTATTTATCAAGAGTTTCTGATATACCGTTAATGAAAGAATCTCGAATTAGAAAGCAAAATATTCGCGTTTATAACAAGTTTTAGTTTTGATCAGTAGTTTCAATTTAGTTTAATCTTAATCTTCTTTCAATCCAGTTTAGTTTCAATCTAATCTAGTCTAGTTCTCTTACATTTTCAAAGTTTACAGAGCATTCTATCATTTTACGACACAATAGTATAGCACCAAAGTGTTATAAAAATTATTGTGATTTTCTCACTCGTTATTTCTCAGCGCCAAAATAGTCAAAATAATCATTAAATCGTTATCAAACTCGTGCCTCCATATAATGATAAGAAAGTTTTTAAATGCACATGCATTCATATGGGATATACAAATTTCTAAGTGGAGGCTGAAAGTATATAATAATATATAGAGAAAGAGTCTCTCTTTTTTTCTTTCTCACTCAAGTAAGCGCATTTTGCACTAAATGTCTAAAAAATTCGTGGCTCAAAGAATCGCGTTTAGTGAAAGACTCTCTGTACAATCGTATTGATTCGAGGATATCGATCGCTTCGGAAATAAAAGCCAAGACATATCCGTGCTCTGACATCATTCCATTTACCAGCGTGCACCCATGTTAGAGGAACCTGATAAAAACGGATCGGTTTTTTTTCTCGTTCACACAATCTCTTATCGATTCTTTAAAATAGAGGTAAAATAAAGAGAGAGAGAGAGAGCTCTCGTAAAAGTCTTCAGCCTGCAAGTATAATCGCGATTTTGAAGTTTTAGATTCTTTGATCCACCTCAGTTAACACATATCGTATTTTCTCAAATAAAAATTGTATCTATTTATCTATATAATTATATCTATTTTCTCTAAAGAGAAAAACAGAAAGAGGGTAGAGAGGGGAGATAGGCCTCTAATCTTCCTCATTCAAACCGTGATTCATATAAAAAATAATTTTTTTTTTTTTCATATTCAAATTCGTCGTTTTTCTTTTTCAAGATGTCGATACATTTTATTGAGTGTAATATGTGAAATAAAATTTCAGTTTTGTGTTACAAGTGTGATCTTGCACTTTAATTTCACACACACACAAAAGGCATTTCGTGTAATTCAAGTTTTTTAATCGCACGTTAATTTACGATAATTTTATAAAAAGAACTAAGTACATAATAATTAAGTATACGAAATAAAATTGTTTTTTATTTTTACGGTAGATAATAGCGGTAAACAGTTCTTTTCGTAGAATTAATCCAATAGAAGATATTAAAAAAAGGACTATCTCTCTAATGAAGAGATCACTTTTAATTACTCAAATGCATTCTAAAAGGATCACAATAAATAAAACCGATTGCGTATTTTTTTTTTTTTAAATGTAATAAAAAATATATATATATATAATTTAGTTGTATTGCACGTATGTATAGCGCGGCTCTTTTCTCTCTGCATGCCTTTTTAAAATCATCTCGAGATGCTCGAAATGCGAAGGCAAACGCCGTGCAACAAGCACCGATAGACTCGCTTGTCATTCACCAACAAAATTACGAGCACGAGTTCTCTGGCCGCTGTATAAATAACCGCGCATAATATAGCTTTTTTGCAATTCGTGATACATGAATTTCGAAATATGCGTTTAATATATCATTTATCAGTATGTTATTAGTCCTCCCGGATCGGTTATCAATTATTTAGAAAACGATAATCGTGCAAGTCTTTCTCGGATTTAGATATTTAGTCAGTCGAACGTTCCCTAAATTACTTCCTTAATTGACTTTCAGAGATAAAAATGGAAAGCTATGCAGCGTCAAGTTAGTCGCAACGTTCCATTTAAAAATACTCTCGCACTGATCAAATCAGAATATCGTTAATTCGGAACAAAGCAACAAATTTTACCGAAAAATCTCGCTAAAATAAAAAAGCAGATAAAGCGAGATAATAAGATCGAAGTGAAATGTCCAACTATTTGTGTTATAAAAGATAAGAAAATCCTTCTTTAACGACATAAACTTTTAAAGAAATTCTATTTCGCGTGCTTGCTTCCTATTCTTTATATAAAAAAAGAATGATACGCGATGCAGTATTTTGTTTGCATAATTTAGATTTATTAAAATACTCGAAATATATATTTTGTTTCATATTGCCCAATGTTAATTTTGAGAAAATATTCCAATTATTATACATTGCGATCACTCCCCATATGATTTTATTTAGAATAAATTGTTAATGATAATTTTTTACACCGAGAGATATGTGTGAAAGTGCTTATTTGAAATATATCCAAACAAAATGGGAAATACTTTTCAATGACATATATCTCTGCCAAATATTTATTATTTCTATGTTAATAACGATTATAAATTAACACAGCAACGACAGCCTTATCAATCAATTATTTACTCTCAATATTTTCTATTGCAAATTTCTAAATTTCAGCAAGCAATATATACAGAATGAGTCATTGCAAACAGAACACTTGCATATCTCTCTTAGATCTAAAGATACGACGAAATGTGTAATGCATAACTTAAATGAGATTCTAAGCGTTTTTCATATATACAAGTTGAATGTATGTTAAATAAAAGAATTTTATACCTTAAAAAGATCTCTGTCCCTCCCTCCCTTCTTGTATAGTTTTAATTTCTATCTTATTTTCGTATTTATAATTCGGCTGATATAATTACAGTTTAATCACATACAACCGTATCATCGAACCTTGATGTATGTATATCAACTGTAATAGGCGTAAGAGATAAAAATCCATGATTTTAAAAGAAGCATTAATGATTATGACAATTTTGAGAAACAAGATTTTAGGAAAAAAGACTATGAATCTAAAAAATACCATGACGTTCATTCTTTCTAAATTAAATGAAAAGATATTTAAATATCTTTTTAAAGAGATTTAAATAGCGTATACTTGTCTATAAAAAGCATTTTTACAAGGTAAAAAACCCTTAATAATCAAAGATTCAATCATTGTATCCTATTGTCATTAAACAATATATCGTATTGCCATTAAACTTTCCAGAAACTTGCGCTTAGTTTCCCTTAATTGTTAATCCACATATCCCCATCGAAAGAGAGTACGATTTTATTAAAATACGAATAGAAAAAACGGCGTTGATTCATATTGACTCGGAAATTGAGTCAGCTGAAGCCACTGGATGCGAATCGAAAACTGCATAAGAATTTTAATCAGTAAATTTAGAACGACTTTTACCATCGAATAATTAAGAAAAAGATTATAAAAGCGACACAAACAGATCCGAATCCGGGAGTGCTCTCGTAAGACTTCGTCGAGTCGAAGTCTTTGCCGTGCCAAACGGAAAAGCGGCCGTTTCAAAAGCGTTCCGAAAGCGTGGGTGTTTCGTGCTGTCGAAGCTACGCAATAGCCCATCCGCGGAATTGAACGTCACACTGAAGGCCTCCCGAACGAAAGCCCTGTATACACCTTCGTACGACAAGAAACGAGTCTGCGCTCTCTGCACGTGTTCATTATGGAAAACTGACTGGGGGAGGTGAGGCGAGAGAAGGGAACGCTGCCAAAAATTCACAGAGATCTGCGTTTCATACGACTTTAGCAGCACGTGGAGTTAAAAGCCTAGTCTAATCAGTCTCTCGTTCAACTCCATTTTTAACAACTCAATCCAATCGTCGAATTCGAATTTGACAATTTGTTTTCGATCAATATGATAGTGCGAACATTTCACGCGCTCTTTACACGCGTATAAGTTATACTGAAAACATTTCAGAGATTTTCTTGTGGCTGCTGCATTCAAAACGAAATAGATTTATAAATTCAGAAGGAAAAATGGAAAGAAAAAGTTAAAAGAAAGTACAAGCGTAGACAAAAGAAACAGATCTTTCGAAAACAATATATAGCTATCTAGTGAATTACGTCAGAAGTGAGATAATTTCTCCTAATATATATATATATA